TTAGGCAGAAATTAGAAATTAGAGAGGGGAGCGTATGATGGAGAAGTCATGGTGGGAAAGGTGAACCCCTGCTTACCTGAGACAGCAGCCCCCCTCCTCCACACATCAAACTGAACCCCTGCTGCTGCTCACCTTTTAACTTAAAACCAGAGCACAGCTCCACGGTTCAGAATCACAACATAGGCTCTCAGTTTGTTTCTGAATGACTTGTTTTTAAAGGTCTTCATGGTCTCTGCCTGCAGATTCAGTTTGACCTGCTCCAGCTGCACGCTCCCTCTCTCTCAGGCCAGCAGATCACTTCCTGTTGGTCGTCTCAAAATCAGTGAGGAAGCTGAAAGGTGAGTAGATGTTTTCAGTCTCAGAGCTCTATTTGATCATCAGACTCACTTCCTGCTTTTAAATCTGCTCTTTAAACATATTTTTACTCTGTGGTTTAACTCAGCTTGAGGTTTTGGTTTTCATTGTTTTGTTTTTATTTTAATAACATGTTGTTTACTGGTTCAGTTTTGTTTTTATATTTGCTTTGTTGTGATTTTATCAGCAGACACTAGTGTTGCAGTACCTGAGACCAGTCTTTCTGATGGTCTTGTCTCGGTCTCGTACATTGAGGACTCTGAATTTTATTTCAAGTTATTTGTTAACATTCTTACCTTCGTTGGATTTAAAGCAAACTGATTCAAATCCAAACCTGACTCATTACTATTTATGGATTTTTGTCAGCCACGTCACCCATTCCCACCTCCCTTCACTCACACGCAGAAAGTGAGCAGTAGTTCTCTGGGAGAACAATATTATCTCCATATAATAAATTAGCTAGATGTGTACAGAATACTCCATCCTTTAGGGCACCAGTTTTTTCTGGTCTTTGTCTCGACTCAGTCTCGCCCTCCCTTGGTCTTGGTCCAGGCCCTAAAAGTCTTGGTCTTGTCTCAGTCTTGATACACTGCGGTCTTGGGTTAGGTTGTCCTAACTACAACACTAGTGAACACTTTGGTCAAATGTGTTTTTAATGTGTGTCGCACAAAAGCAGAAACACGTTGGAATAATACCAGAAGAGTCTGCGTATATGTTAATCAAATATGGTTTAATTATGAGCAACAAACAAACAGAACCGAATCAGGAAGTTCTGCATGCTTGCGACTGAACGCGTCAGCAGAATACAGCCAGTAATATAACATCATGTCAACACCATGTGACAGTTTACAACCAATCACAGATTGCCAAATGTACTGTCCAGCCTATCACAGGACTCCCACCCAAAGAGTCTGTTAGAGTTCAGTCCATTGCGGAGCTATCAGAAAGATGAGTGATGGACAGTGTCAAGGGGAAACAGATATAAATAATTAGACCATGACAATGTGTTTTATAAATAATGCTGTATTCATGTTCTTTTACAGACACTCAAGAACAAGTGGTTTCATAAGAAAAAAATCATTTCTTTTAAATGTTAAACAAGAAACTAATACATGAAAGATATTTAACTCTGAAACCAGGTGGGAACCAGGTGTTGACACACCTGAGCTGAACAGGTGAAGACAACTGGAATAAACAGAAATATTTCTTGGTGACTTAAATCCTCAAGTGATGCACGTCAGCAGGGACATCTACTGGTCAGCTGCTGCTAGAGAGTCACTTCATGAAGGTAAAACAATAAAGTTGGTTTTTAGCAGCTGTTTAAAGTCAGTTATTTATTCTCCACACATGAAACATTTTGAAATGTTACATTTCTGATAAAACATCTAAATATGTCTTATTTATGATTACTGAAACAGGTTTGTCTTCGTCACAGATTGCATTACTTAAGAAATGAAGACATTCTGCAGGATGCCAGTGCAGCTTTACTGTTCAAAGAGAACAAACCCTTACATATTAGAATTTAAAACACTACATTCACCTTCCCCTACAGACTTAAAATATGTTTTATTACAAATGAAATCCATAGATTAGATTTAAGATGTAGAAGGAAAATCATTTCCTGTAACATGGAAACATCTGTTTACCCAGAGGGATGATTGGAGTGATGTTCAGGTTTGATTGATTTGATTTATTGATTTAAAAGGAAAAGACTACTAAAAATCAAGCCTGACTCAGCATAATTACTGTTTTACAGCAGGTTCCTGTTCTGCAGCACATAAAACACTCAGAATTACAGCATCACAATCACATCATTATACACCATGGAAACAAAGACAAACAAGCATACCAAATTTCAGGAAGGCAGCATTTGCAAAATAGGATGTCTAAATATGAGCACAACAAAAAGTGTCCAGCAGATGGCAGACAAGATTCTTCTTAAAGGGCTGTAGTTTTGAAATGGACTTTGTTTTGAGGAATGTCATTCCATGCTTTAGTATAAACATAGAAGAAGGACTTCTGGCCGTAACAGTTTTTAAAAGTTGGTAATATCAGTTGTCCTTTTGTAACATGTCTAATTGAATGACAACTTCCAGAATTTGATTTGGGCAACAATGCACAGAGTTCCATAATTGGCACCTTGGAAGATCTGAAAATATAAATTAATACCACTATACAAAACATAATTCTGAAAAGTCAAGGCATCAGACAATGAAAGAACTGTACAGTGATGTTTACTTCAGATTAGAATATGTAAAAGTTTTACACATTGTTATTTAGAGTATTTAACCTGCAAAACTAATAAAATCCTTTCATAATTAGATCAGCAGTGATGCCTGAAGACAGATTTACAAGGTTATACGTTTTTGAGGGAGAATACAGTATTTTTTCTCTCTCGTGTATGTATATTAGGCGTGCAACGAAACAGAAAATTCACAATTCGGTTTGGTTCAACATGCCCCTTTTAACTTGTAATTTGTTTAAATTAATTATGAACATTTGTTTAACTTTAAAAGTACAGTTTTTAAATCAAACGTTGCTGAAACAGCAAGTTTCTCAATGGATCTGCGCTCGACAATGCAGCCCAGGTGGAGTAGTTGAACACAGATCCACTGATCCTTTAACACAGAGCATCTTCAGAAGACAAGTTGATGAAATAAATTTTAAAAATCTGTGTTGTTCGATTCAAGTGTGTATTGAACCTAAAGCACTGTATTGAACGGTTCAATACGGGTACATGTATTGTTGCACCCCTAAAAAAAAATTATGTATATATGACTGTACCAGTTTAACAGCAGCTGGCTCCAATGACTACACCCCATTTACACAAACAAATTATTAGCTGTCTACAGAGTGTGAGGTCTTCATGATGGAGACTGTTTAGTTTTAATGTTAAATTTTAAACTTAAAAATATAATTTAGCATTTAGCAAATAAAACTTTCAAGCTAAAACATGAAAGGTTTCAGTCAGATTTAATGCCAGATTTGTGTATTTTCACACTTTCCTCCTGACTTGGAGTTTGAGTCAGGATGAATTGTTTTAACTTAACCTCTGGACTCTACAGGTCACGATTCCTCCTGAACTAAATCTTCTGAAAAAGCTTTTAGTCACATTCTGTCCTGTTAATCTGTCATTGTCTGCAGATAATGCTGACATGACAGTCTGTTAAACTTGTGATTTAATAGTAAAGAATCAACATTTCTATGACATGATTTTCCTTTTTAAAGTAGTTTTATTTCAAGTGTTTATGATCATACTGTGAGCTTGAATGTTAATTTAAATGTCATTTAGAGTTCAAATATTAACCCCTTTCTCTCCTAAGCAGATCAACAGCTGTGCTCGACACCATTCTGTCAGAAAAAGAAAATGTCTTCCAGTGGAACATGACCCTGGATGTTTATGTTGTCTGCACCTCACAAGCTGCAAGGCAAGTGAGACTAAAACTAGTTGTTTTGATTCTTGAAGCATCAAGCTGCTCAGGTGAAATAGCTGAAGGGAAAAAAGTACATTTAATTTTTAAACTGCAGTGAAAAGTTTGGCTGGAGGTCTGCAGATAAACTGTTCATGATGAGAGGCCATGCTGTCCCACACCTGCTTTTTGACAACCTCTCAGTGTTGACCTTACAGGACAGTGGACCGTGTGTACTTCTGCAAAGGGGTCTCACAACTGAGCAGCCCACCTTTAACAAGACAACCTGCATGTCTCACCTGGGTGAGAATTAATCCAGCTGCACCTGATCAAGATTGAACACAAAAGGTTCACAGCAATTCAGCCGAGGAATCTTGATAAAAGTCTTCTGATTTGTAGTAATAAGTCTAAATAACTTTAATCTGAACAAGAACTTAACCTCTCTACAACTGACTTATAAAAAGGTTCTTAACCTGAGTCACCTGTTAAAGAAAAATAATTGGGAAAATATCGTTCCTTCTAAAAAAGGTTTTAAACATCAATACCTTATCAAGTCTACAATAATTTTCACCTTTAGAACTACATGTATTTTAGATATCTTATTGCTTCCGTTTTTATTCAAGATCCAATGAAATTTTAATAAGTTTCCCAAAATGTGGAACAACCTGCCTTTGGGCATCGGACAGGCCACATCCCTGCCAGCTTTTAAAATGCTACTTAAAACCCCATCTCTGCTCTTTGGCTTCATCTGAGACATTTTTAGTTTAGAGTAAGTAGTTTTAATTGGTTTCATGATGTTTTATTATAAAGTTTTAATTTTTGGATTTGGCTTTTATTATGCACTGTGACTGTTGTGTTTTATTGGACTGTACAGCACTTTGGTCCTATGGTTGTTTAAGTGTTTTATAAATAAAGTTGTTAAGGTAAATCAAAGACAAAGCTGGTTTCTTCAGTTTTGAGTGTTCATGCATTTCGTATGAGTTCACTGAGTCTTATGTCACACTTTGGTATAAGAGTTCTGGTTAAAAAGGGCGACTAAAGAAAGCACAGCTGGTATTGTGCCCCCACAGGTTAAACAAAGTGTGGCTAAGTGCAGAAACCATATCACCCTTCATCTTTCATTACATTTGACACTTCAGTAAACTCACCCCTACGCCGTTAAAGTAAAACTAAATCATAACTTTCTGTACATTCTTCCCAACAGTTGTTAGACATTCAAAATCCTGTAAACAAATGTAGATCATTATTTGTTCAATCTTTATTTATTAAATCTATTTAAAAAAAACATACAAAATACAATAAATTTCAAAAAAATTAAAACCACCACCAAGCCCATTGATCCGACGCAGATTTTATCCACCTGCAAAAAAGCAAAACAACAAACAGCCTTCTGTCATCCATCTGTGACATCACACGTGAAAGGAAACTCGGTATCAATACATCCTACATACTGGGCAGAGTACTGAAGAACCTGGTCTGTGGTCGTTACCGTACCAAAGGTCTGAAATCCTTACAATCAAAAGCCAAATTTGTCCTTTCCTCAAAAACTAGATCCGAGTTTTCAAAGTTTATATAAAATATGCATAAACTATAACATTAAACTTAAGGAATCCACAATTAGTTGTAGCATTATAACTTTATTAATAAACATATTTTAACTAAAATAATGACTAAAAATACTGTAGGATGTTTAGTTTTTGTAATTTGTAAACTAAAAGTTTAAATATATTTTAACACGGACGGGACCATTTTATTTACATGCAAAGCTTTCTGGGTAAATGATGATGTGGGTAGGTCATCGGTGTGAGGCTGCTAGCGAGCTATATCCACCCTGAAGGTTAATCTTCGACAATATCTGATGATCGACTCTTTTTAAAATGAAACCAGAGAGCGTTGACAGAGAGGAGAAGGTAGAAATGATTCAGCCTGTAACTGAAAATATGGATGGAGGACCTCAGTTTAGCTTGTTTGTCGCACTAGCACTGAGCTAATACATAAAAGACAATATAGCGTCAGTGCTAGCACAAAGGCTAACAGGCTAAACTGAGGTTCTTCTTCCATGAAGCAGCTCTGTTGTCCTCCATCCATATTTTCAGTTKCAGGCTGAGTCATTTCTACCTTCTCCTCTCTGTCAACGCTCTCTGGTTTCATTTAAAAACAGTCGATCATCAGATATTGTCCAAGATTAACCTTCAGGGTGGATATAGCTCGCTAGCAGCCTCACACCGATGACCTACCCATGTCATCTTTTACCCAGAATGCTTTGCATGTAAATAAAATGGCCCTGTCCGTGTTAAAATATATTTTAAAAAATGTACAAAACTAAACAGCTTACAGTTTTTTACAGTCTTTATTTTACAGTTAAAATATATGTTTATATCAAATAAAGTCTAATGTTACAACTAATTGGGGATCCCTTTAATAAAATTCATTGTAAAACTGATATTTCAGTACTTTGAACCATGAGGTCAAAAGAGGTAAAAACCAAACTTGAGAAGTTTTATTTTATCACTTTTAAATGATAGTGAACTATACACAACCATCTGAATCAGTTCCACATTTCTGGAGAACTAAATGTTCCACTTTGATTTAAGAAGTTACTGTATTTTCAGCCTAATAAATCTTTAGTGAACAATTAGACCCGTTTGTTGGAAATTTAGGAGGAGACTTCCTGAATTCCTCCTGACAAAAAGCAGAAACTAAATCAGGTTTTTGATTCTGTTATCAGAAAGTCAACATGTAAACCTTATTTCAGTTGTATGATATCAGGTCACATGTGTAAACTGTCATGAATCATGTCATCACATTTCATTCACCAGAGAACTGTTAAAACCAGTCTTTTGCTTAGAGAAAAATGCTAGAAACCCCATTTTGATTTGGGCAAAGTAGTTCTGCAGGTGGCTACACATTCATCAAGTATCCAGCTGGTATGTTTTATGTATTTATAAAAACAAGTTCTCACCCTCTAAATCAGCTGCTCAGTCGTATGGACTTCCTGTTGGTTGGTGTGGCCGTCTGCAGACAACAAAGTGTTAGAGAGAAATTCACACTTTCAGATCAGTCAGTCAACTTTTGATGTTTGATTCAGCCTCAGCCTGACTTTTCATGAACCACTAAACTAAACAGAAGATCTTAATCAGATTACACCAAAGTTTAACTTCAGTGATGCATTACCCAGAGGTCCTCCTCCACTGACCAGGCCTTTTCTGCACATCTCCACTGATCCTGAAAGTTTCAGCTTTACTGTTCCTGACGTCTACAAGACAAGCTGCTTTTAGTCTCACAAAGTATTTTGTTACAGAAAACCAAAGAACGAGTGTTGAAGTGAGCTCACCTGAGTGTTTACATGGTTTTTGTTGGGTCTGTAAGTCAGCATCCCACAGAAACATTTGGGATCCTGTCCTTTGCTACACTGGACACCAAAGTCCATCAAATGGCCCTTTGATGGCAACATTTTGGTAATCTTCTGTAAAGTGACAGGATCTCCATCCATCTGTGTGTGACAAACCAGCTTGCCTGGAAATGAAAGCTTTTCTGCCAGTGATTGAAGCAGCATTTCCTCCTGACAGGAAGGACCTTTTTCTTGCAGCTCATCTTCAACCGGTGCTTCCTGGTTTGGGCTTGGAGCAGCAGCCTCAGGTTCAGAAGAACTTTCATCATTTTCGTCCTCAGTTGGACTCACAGCTTCACTCGGCATGGGGGTGGGAAGAGACAGGGCATCATGTTCACATTGAACAGAACTTTGGTCTTGCTCTGGTTCTGGGGGACTTTGCTGTTCATCTTGAACATTAATATCTAAACCATCTTCTGACATTTGAACAGACATGATAAAGACAGGCGGAGCTGGAGAGGGTTTTATAACTTTTACAATTTTGTCACTTTGAGCTGACAATCTGTCCTTTCTAGCCTCCTGCACTGGTTTTTGTATTCCTGGTTCCAACAAACTGTTCTCCATCAACCACTCTTGACTGGGAATATAGGGCTCCAGAGACTCCACAGACCAGATGGACTCATTCAGTTTCTGCTTCGCAGGACAGTTACTGGAAGACATCTTGGATGGTGCCATATCTGGTAAATCATAGTGCAAGTTGGTCCCGTTAGAGTTTTCTGGCTCTCCGTCGAGGAACATGCAGGACAAGTTTTCAGAACATTCAAGGTTCTCTCTGTAGTTTAGAGATGGCCTCTCACAGAAGGGTAGATCCACAGGTCCCACAGTTTCACAGGACTCCAAACAGACCTCAGTGTCAGCTTGAGGCAGTCTGAGGACCTTGAAAAGCACTTCATGCTTAGCATTTGCTACATCTTCATTAGTGCCGTCACTTACACCAGAGCCAATGTACATCCCAGTGAAACTCTGAACGGTGCTTCTGTTGTCCAAGCCTGCTGAGCTTGAGCCTGGAGAGTGTGACGGGTTTGATCCAGTTCCATGACCAGAGTCTGAGACATCTGGAGGCCACAAGAAGCCCATGGCTATCTCGGTTTGGACTTCAGAATTTGCAGTTTCTTTTGGCGGGACATAAGGCAGCCGAGTTCTGTGGGTCGGGTTTGGGTACTGAGCAGGAACCTGTGGGGGGAGCAAGCGCCTGTAGTCAACTGGTTGGATGTGAGGGTGAGGGAGAAGGTACGCTGGAGCCTCCAGGTAAGGGGGAGTGGGTAAGACCATTCCAAAGCCTGAGAAGCAGATAAACAAGGTGACTTTTTTTCTGGAATAAATAAAACCTTATTTTGTATCTGAGGACTTGTTTAAACCTTGAGATTTAAAAATACCCACATAAAATTTGACATTTGTTCTGATGGGTAGGCTGTACTAATGAGAACTAAATCCCATGGAAAATAATATTTGTACCCACAGAAACAAACAATGAAGTGGCCAACCAGAGTTTGTCGAGGACAGAATGTGTGCTGCCATCTTGCTAGGTGCTCTGCGGTCATCTAATTTTTTTTTTATAAATATCTTAAGTTTTGTCTTCAGTGTATATTTTACAATCCTGTACTTTAAAGGTTTCATTGTTAAATATTATAAATAATATTAAGCCTTACTGGTTCATAAATACTCCAACATTAGGGTTTCAGATTTTGTCTGTTTTGGTCATTGTAACAAAAACACTATATTGTTAGTGATAATTTACAAAGTACTGCCTACTTCAGCAATGTCAGTCGTTGCATTGAACTAATAGAACATACAGCCTGCACTGCTTCAACATGGAAACTGTGAGACATGCAGCACCTTACAAGATGGCCGCCACAAATCAGTGTTTTCAGTAAAGCTTCAAAACATCACTTGTGCATTAAACAAGGTGAAAACTCCTGCCTGGGTATCCAGGAAATGGAGGGAAAGGGAAGGGCGTGGGCCACTGGTAATGGAGGAACGGAGGTGGTGGTGCGTGTGTGTAGACCGCAGGTGGGACAAAGACAGGTTGATGAAGATGTGCCGAAAATCCTGGATCCAGACCAGAACAGTGTGGACCGAGATCTGGCTGCACAGAGCTGGTAAGGCCACTGGAGTGGGGGCCTGGGTTCCCCCCTACAGGTCTGGAATAAGCTGCAGGAGGTCTGCCAACACTTGCTGCCATCTTCAACCTGCAAAGATAAAGCAGATTCAGTGAAACAACACTGTGGGAGGTGGTCTGTTTGAAACATCAACCTTGCACGTCTTAAACTAAACTCAGTGAGCAGAGAAAGAACTTTACTGAAGGGAAAACTCAGTCAAAAAATGATAACAGTAGCAAAAAACAAAAGTAGCAAAGTGTTAGCAAAGAGCTAAATAGTCAGTTTTTCAAAAGATCAATGTTATTCATGATTCATGATTTCAGCACATTTCTGTTGGAGATCAAATTCTTAAGTTACAAAAAGTCATCCATCTTCTAAATTACTTGAATGTTTTCGTACATTGTGTGAAAAGAGTTAAGATTGTTTAAAAAAAAAACACGCACAGGAGGAGAATAAGAATAGATGTAATCATGAGAGAGATTGCAGCCTGGACCTGTAGTCCGAGTGATTCTTTCACAATAAAAGCCTAGTTATAAGAGACGCTTGCAGTCTCCCAGTGTTTTATAAACCAGTGGTTCCCAACCCTGGTCCTGAAGGACCCCTATCCTGCATGTTTTATTATTTTCCCTGCTATTCAGCAGGTCTTCAAAAGATTGTTAAGCATTCATTCATTCAAACCAGGTAAACATCTAAACATGCAGGACAGCAGTCCTTGAAGACCAGGGTTGAGAATCACTGCTTTAATACTTCCTGTGTGGTGGAATATGATTATTTACAAATGAAGAATCAATGGCTTCCAGAGGCAACACTAAAAACACAAAACTAAGTCAATATTATATTTTGAAAATGTCTCATCAAGCTCAGAGAAGCTCTAGAGGTGTTGGTCAACATTTAGAGCAGTAATTTAGACGTTTCCCTGATTTGACACACCTGGTTTAATGAGTGATTAACTTCTGAAGACCTGCTGAAGAGCAGGGAAACAAGTCAAACATGCTGGATAGGGGTCCTTCAGGGTTGTGAACCTGGCATAAAGTACCACAAAGTGATACTTGAGTAAAAGTATCTTACAAAAAAATAACTTTTACAAAACTAACATCTCCTTTAGGAATTTTACTTGAGTAAAAGTATCAGATATTTTCTTGTACTTTAGTATTAAAAGGATTGATTTAAAATGAGCATTTAGATTTACATAATGACAATTAGAAGGTGATACCCCCACCCCCCCAAAAAAAGAAAACAAAAAATGACTATCGTATTCAAAAATTTAATTTGTTAAATTTAGGATGCACTAGTCTAGCTGTTTCAGTTTGTATATAAATATCAAGGCTACCCAAACCCAAATGAAAATCTTGAGGGCTGTGGTCAAATGCAATAATATAATTCATGAAATACAAATACTTCTTAAGTACAGTCCTTTTATTTTAATGATTACGTCCTGCTGGAGTGTGACATGATTTGTTTGTGTACAAACTAATACGCTATCAGAACTTTATACATTTATAATTCTCATGCAGCCACAATTAAATTTACTCACATCTAGGAGGCACAATTAATATGGATGGTATTTTATTTTTTATCAACAAGCTGAAATGAAGTAATGACAACTTCTTGCTTTTTTTTTTTTTTTTTAAAAAGGAGTAGAACATAAAGATAATTGTCAAAATGCAATTAGTACAAGTAGAAATTAGGCTGAAAAATAATTACTCAAATACAGATACCCAAAAATTCTACTTAGGAAAGTAGTGTTTGTACTTCACAACTCTGCAGACTTCTTGTACAAAAAGGTCTGCAAAGCTGCTCCTGTGTGTGCTCAGTCAGCGTTTCTCTGCAGAACCAAGAAGAAACCAAATATTCTAAGCTGTTGTAGTTACAGGTACATGAGTCACACTTCACGCCAAAGTTTCAAACTACACTTAACAATACAAACGCCCCATGTCATGTACAAGAGTTTTATGAACATTTGTGTTACACACAACATAGAGAAACTCAAAATATATTTTCATTAACTGCTGATCTTCATATCGGCATTGATAACGTCGATGTATGGTCATTTGTAGCGGATTGACAGTCCTTTGAACATGATAGGGGTCAGGTTGTGGAATTTGATTTTTCAGTATCTTGTGTCCGCCAGCTGCGTCTTTCAGAGCAATACATCTTCACATGGAGTTGATCAGATTGTCTATGGTGACCTGTGGGATGTTACTCCATTCCTCCTGGAGTGCCACGTGAAGCTGACCCACGGTCCCGGACACACCTGTCCACAACATCCCAGAGATGCTCTGTTGGGGCCATGTCTGGTGAATAAGCAGGCCAGTCCAGAACTTCAATGTCCTCTGAAGGAATTCCTTGCAGCTACTGCTCTGGTAGACATCCCTACATCCAACATGCCAATGGCACGCTCCCGCATAACTTGTGACATCATTACGACATGTAACAAAATTGACATTTTGGGGTGGCCTTTTATTGACTCCAGTCTAAGGACTGTCCAGCTGTTCATTTTGTCTGATCACCCAATGGACATGCCCCGCCTATGCACTGAGTAAAAAAACAACTCACTGAGTAATGCTCACTGACAGCAAGGTTTTTAAAATTATAGAAAAATCAAGAGAAATATTACCTTTGTACAATAAAATGTCAGCAAATGCTCATTTACTGTTAATTCACCATGGCAACAATATTTGACATGGGGTGTTTGTATTTTTGTTAAGTGTAAGATCATCCTATGAGAATTGAAGCTGTGACCACTCCAGTCAAACTTTGCAATCATCAAATTTAACTTTAATATCTGTCTGTTGCTGGGTTAGTCCTCTACAGCAGTGGTTCCCAAACTTTTTATCTTCTGACCCACGAAATATCCATGGCGAAAACTTGTGACCCCAAATATTACTGGTTTGAGTACAAAAACTTTGTTAATACACCTAAAAACACAGGCTTTTTGACCATCTAAAAACCGCTTACACAAATATAAATACTTATTTAAACTTTCTTTTGTGTGTTTTTGTAATAGTTGTAGGGAAAATATTACATCAGCAATTATTTTATTACCCTTTAAATTGATTTCTGGAGATTATCCAAGGTGCTTCATGACCCATAATTGGGTCCCAAGCCCAACTTTGGGAACCAAAGTGCACTGGTTCCCAAACTTTTCAGCTTTTGACCCACAAAATAACAGTAGCAGAGACCTGTGCCCACAACTATGTTTGGATGATAAACATTTGTATCAGGTCAARTAAACATGGGCATAGTAACAATATTTTTATATTACATTTACCCATTTTAAATATACTATCCTCACTCCTTTGTAACAACTAAGGCAAAAATGTAATTAATTCAGAAAACATTTTCAGGACCCCACCTTGATGTTTCAGGACCCCACCTTGATGTTTCAGGACCCCACCCTGATGTTTCAGGACCCCACCTTGATGTTTCAGGACCCCACTTTGGGTCCCAACCCCAACTTTGGGAAACACTGCCCTACAACAACAGGGTTGAATAGGTTGACAGTATGTAGCTTTTAAAAGAACTCTAAACTTCTTAACAAAAGCTAAAAACAAATGAAAATGAGAAACATGAGCTTACCTGCAGATGTGCTGACCACGTGAACCAACAGAGCAGACAGGAAATGAGCAGCAGCTGCTGACACACCTGGCATTAAGTAGGTGCTGATCACACAGGTCAGCATTAAAGGCCTGGCAATCCTGGCTGAGTGCACACCACCCGCCACCGTTCACTACAGAGTTTTAGAGAAAATCATCCTGTGTGGAGAAATAACAGAGCTGCAGTTGTTTTGTTCCAACTTGAACGTAGCATAATGTCAGACCTCTAAACCAGTGGGTGCCAACCCTGGTCCTCAAGGACTCCTGTGCATGTTTAGACAAAAAAAAATTAATTATTATTATTATTATTGTGAGATTATGCTTGTTCATCACAGATTGTGTGGACAAAACAAAAATATTGTAATAATATGGACTCCTGAGCCCCGTTTCAGAAAGCAGGGTAAGTGCATACCCTGAGTAAGTTTTGGGGTAACTGGGTGCATACCCCGTGTTTTTGGTTTCAGAAAGCCAGATAGCAGTTACCCTGAGTTAAGTTACCCCCGAAACTTACTCTGTGAACCATTCCTGCTCCGTAGCAGGGTTGGTTGAACATATCCTGGGTTAGTCTGACTGTTTAGGTGACAGCTGTCATGAGGAAGTGTCAGACATGGTATGTCCTTTTCTCGAGGAGCCTGTGGACAAAGGAGCGTTAATACTCTGAAGAAATCTACGTCGGGAGAGAGCAATCAGACCGAGATTAGATGTGTTATAATTTCCAGACGATTATTTGTTTGAGCTACCGGTTTTCACGCTCCAGAGTTAGATGGACCTTCGTCAGCTGATCCTCCTTCACAGTCCTTTTTAAGTTAAAATTAACTGTCATTATTTTACACAATAAAATTTAAACCTACAGTTAAGTAACACATCCACATGCACCTGGGTCTGCCCCCTCTGTGACAGCTGACAAAGTTTCTTCATCATCATCATCCTGTGATGAAATATAYTAAAATGGATTTACCGTACTGAAATGCACTTAAAAACCTTTCATAAATACAAAATTAAAAAAAATTTTAAATAATAATAATCCTTACAGCAGCAACAAAGATCTGTGACCCAGAAGGGACCTGAAGAGACAGAACACCATCCACCACTGGTGAGACAAATGATGGGATATTTAATTTAGACTTCCATAATAATGTGCCACTTAAAACCAAACACATTCCTTAGATTATGTGACTGCACCTTTATTTCAATTTACATAAGGTTAATGTTGTAAGAGCACCCATAGTCACAAACTGGATACAAAAGCATCAGTGACAACTACACTTGAAGATGTATGACTGGGATGCTGGGAAACTGTAAAATGAACAAATAAATTACTTCAAGAGCTAACCTTTAACATAACTGTTGTTGTCCTGGGGCATGGTTGGGTCAGATGAAGTTCCCCCAGGGATGCCCTCAGCTATAAGTCGCCCACTATTGTGACTCAGGGCCAGCTCTTCGGCTTCTGATAGTGGTGGTGGACCCCCACCTGTCTTTCTGGCATCTGCCTTTTACACATCTGCTGTAATGAAGGTCAGAAATTAATTAGACACATGCTATTTTTGCGTGTACATTTTATTTATTGGTAGAGAGAAGGTAACGCATTTAATTGTTTATGTGGAACACGTTACTTTCATGTGCTCAATGTAGCTGGAGAATCATTTAATTAATTTATTAAAGATTGAACAAAACAGCATTTAACTGGAGCTTACCTGATTTGACTACATTTTTATTTTTCATCTTTATTTGCTGCCGTCCGTTTGGGACCGGCTGGGTTGCACCTACACACACACACACACACACACACACACACACTTTTACTTCAATAATTATAAAGAATAAATGATTATCTTTCTGTCAAATCATACTCACGCATTGACTTGGTCAGCAATTTTCTGCCATGCTAACTCTCTTTCTCTTGCAGCAGCAACAGTATTGCTTTTACTGTTAAATATATGTTGGTATTGTCCGTATGCCGTCATTAATATTTCTAGTTCCAGTGGTGAGAAATACGGACTTCCATTCTTCCTGTTTTCTGCCGTTTCCATGGTGAATCGCAGTATCTGACTTCCTTTGATGAGGGCTTCTTAAAGCTCAAGGGGTAACTTCACTC